TGTCTCAAAATAAAAAAGTAAAAAAAAAAAAGGCTGGGGATTTGGCCCAGTGTTTAAGCACCCGGGTTAAATCTCTGGTACCTACCCCCCCCCCCAAAAAAAAAAAAAGGATAACAGTTGCAGGGAGTGACTCATGCCTACAATTCTAGCAGCTCTGGAGGCTGAGGCACAAGGATCCCAAGTTCCAGGTCAGCCTCAACAACTACCTCAAAATAAAAAATAAAAAGGGCTGGGGTGTAGCTCAGTGGCAAATTATCCTGTACTAAATCCCCAGTACTTCCCTTCCCCCCAAAAAAGAATACCAACAACAACCCAGTTTATTAACATGGAAAAATGTGTAAAACACTATAAATCAGAAGGCAAGAAAGAACTGCAGGAATATAGCTATGCATATATATAAATAAGAACAGGGGAGAAATAAGAATTTAAACTATTCTGTTGAATCAGAATATAGTCTTTAAAAATTTCTTTGTAATTGGTGCTTCGAATTTGGGATTGTAATTGTTTCTTAGGGGGTGGTTGGGGTTGAATTCAGGATCTTAAGGCTAGCAAAGTATTCCCCTACTGAGCTATATCCCCTGCTCTGTAAAAAAGTTAGAAATGAATCTGAAGCAGAGCATAGTGGCACATTGGAGGCAAGCTTGGACATCTTTGCGAGATTCTGTCTCAAAAATAAATAAATAAATAAAAAGGGCTAGCTCAGTGGTAAAACACCCTTGGGTTCAAACCCCAATACCATAAAAAAAAAAAGAGTGTTTGTTACATTTATAAAAATGCATGTAGTACCCTTTAAGTTGGTTTGCTTCATGCATTTTGTTATATCTCAAAAAATTCTTTAAAAAAAGCTTAGCAGGGCATGGGAATAGGAAAGACAGTAGAATGAATCTGACATAACTTTCCTATGTTCATACATGATGAATACAAGACCAGTGTAATTCCACATCATGTTCAACCTCAAGAATGGTATGTATATATAATGTATGTATAATAGTGTATAAAGTACACTCCACTGATGTGTACATCTAAAAAGAACAAAAAAAAAAAGCTTAAAGAAAAATTCTACTGATCAACAGTATACAGCATATCCAACTGAAAAAAATCATCCACACTTAAAATGTGTGCAGTCCACCACAAATTACGCCTCAATAAAATAAACTGGACCTCTAGTGGAGGAGTGATCAAGCACTTCGGCAACGGGTTCACATGACTCACCCCCAAAATAGGCCTCAGGCGCACATCAGACCTCCGCAGTACCTGCGGCCTGAGTCTCCCTAGGGGGAGGCAATCACACAAAAAAACCGAAAAGCCCCCGACACTCGAGGCCTTTCCGCCCACTGAGGGAGGTCTAAAGCCCTCAGGCCCTGCCATCAGAAAGAGAACTGTCGCCTCTGGCTACCCAGTCCCTGCACTCAGCTGCCGCCGCGCTGACGTCACCACCCTGCCTCCCAGTCTCTCGCCTCCGTTCCCGCCCCGCCCCCTTTCCCGGCGTGCGCCGCGGCTAAAATTCCCCGCCCTGGGCTTCTGCCTGTCGCCCCAAGATGGCGGACACAATGAGCCGGTGCCGCGCCGGTTGGCCCTGAGGCGACTCTGAGGAGGAACGGTCGCCTAGGCCCCACGGTCCAGGCAGAAGAGTATCGCCAGTGCGAGAGGGGAAGGAGGCGGACTTACTGCTCGCAGCCCTTCCGCTCGCCGCCAGTGCGGCGCCCGCCCCGCCCGGGTTGGCCCTCCGCAGCCCGCCCGCTCGCCCGCCATCCAGCCCCGCCCCGGCCCTGCGCCGCTGCCGCCTCCAGCAGCCGCCGCCATGAAGCTGACCGACAGCGTGCTGCGGAGCTTCCGCGTCGCCAAGGTGTTCCGCGAGAACTCAGACAAGATTAACTGCTTTGACTTCAGCCCCAATGGCGAGACGGTCATCTCGAGCAGTGACGACGACTCCATCGTGCTCTATGACTGCCAGGAGGGCAAGTGAGTGCGGCGGTGGCTCTGGGCCCGGCTCTTGAGTCCCTCCCTCCCTTCTGTGGCCCAGCACTGGTCCCGCGGCCCGCCCTCCGTCCGGACTCCGGCCCCCGGTCTCTTTTGCTTCTTCCTGGGACGCCTGCACTCCGCAGCCGTCCAAAGACCTTTTCTTTCTTTATAAAATAACGATAATCGTAATAATAATAACATTTTTTTTTATGTCTTCGGCCTCTTCAGAGTGCTTCTGTGTCGTTTTCCGAAACCCGCCTTGACCTTGACCTTTAAGGGCCCTGTCCGTGCATCCCGGGCCCAGCAGGTAGCTTTTCCCGCTCTTCCGACCGTAGGAGGTGCAGGTCGGCTCTGGGCTGGACGCAGAACTGGAGGGACTGCTCTCCTACTCATCCAACAGCGTCAGCTCTCTCTGCCCTTTCCGCGGTGACCTCAATTCAGCTCTGGCACTCCGCCGGTCCCCAGCTTGTCGTGGCCTTTCTGCCGTCAGGCCCCGTCGGTTGCATTTCTTGGCTGTCAGGATTTATTTGTTGTGCTTCCTTGAGCCCCTGGCCTTTTCTTCCTCTTCCAAGCCTTGCACTTATTCCCTCAGACCTGGTCTCCACGTTTATTATAAACTTTTTAACATCCTGAAACTTTTTTTTTTTTCCTTTTTGCCATTCACAAGCGAATTTGACTGTCCCATTCTGATCCGAATGTGAACTCCTTAAAGTAAAGCATCCCAGGACAATTTCGTGTTTCCCCTTACACATTATTTTAACAGTTTCTGGTCCACTTGGAATTATCAAAATTCTGAATCTGGTCATCAAAGTTTTATGTTGCACCAGGTCACTACACTTGGCATGTCTTTGCAATATCTTATGAACAGAGAGCGCTTTACCTTTTCCTCTGTGGGCCTTCTCAGTCTGGCCTCATCCCTGTGGACTTGCTCCAAGTCCTTGCTGAATTGCTCCTTTGGAGCAGAAACTAGTTTAGACTAAATTTTATTTCCCCTCAGCCTCCTTTCCCAAGAAGGTTTGAGGATGTTCCCTTTAATTCAGTGGCTACTAGTTTTTTCAGACTTCATTTTGTTACCTAGTTACAAATTTTATATTTTGAATCCTTGGATTTTTTTTCTCTACTTTCTCCAAGCTGTCCTTTTTGATCCCCACCCCCACCCCCAAACAACTGATGTTTTTCTTTTGGAATTTGTCTCTTCATTTGTGAATTTGATTATCTAAAGTAATGCTGTTTTGGACAGAACTATGTTTTCCCCAAATTTCTTCCCCACTGGAGCTATGATAAAGTATTATGTAACTGGCTTTGGATCTGCTTGCAGTCATGTGGAAGAGTGGCCTACAGTGTGATGGTCCTGGGGGAGAGGGAAGTTTTTTCCTCTAGTACTGGCTATTGAACCCAGGGGTGCTCTACCAGGAAGCTACATCCCCAACCCTTTTTCAAAAATTTGATAATGGATCTCCCTAGGTCATTAAGGCTGGCCTAGAATTTAGGATTCTCCTGCCTCAACCTCCAGATAGGTAGCTGAGATTACAGGTGAGCTCCACTGCACCTGTTGGGGAAAAGGAATTGTTAGCTGAACAGATACTTAGTTATTTGAGTCAGTGTTATTCATTTAGTAGATGAATTCTGTCCATGTCTGGCTACTTGAATCAGTTTGGTGTTTGTGATGGGATTACTTGCTATGTTGCCCAGGCAGCCTCAAATTTATAATCCTCCTGCTTCAGCCTCTGGAGTAGCTGGGATTTCAGGCACATGGCCCAGCTTTTTAATGTTTGGAAGAGGAAGTAATGTTTAAAGCTAGGGTAGAGATTGTCATTGTGAAGTCCTGGAACTAGAAGTAAATTGAAGCTGGTTTGCTTGAAATTTTCAGTGCTTGCGCACAAGATTAGAACCTACCTCCAGAACCTAACAGTGGAAATACATGTCTACATTCAAAGGAAATGATGGTTGTCCTGGCATTTCTTCAGTTTGTCACCAAATGTTGAGAATTTCTTCCTGTTATGAAGTCTTATATTGTAAAATGCCAATTTTGGCTTTTTACAATTATAGACTTTTTGAAAGTTACAATGTTTCAAAGACTTCCCTTGGGGAAAAAAGAACATACTTGAAATACACTTGAAAAAATGATCCAACAACTTATTAAGTTTTGCACCATTTGCTTTATCATTCCATAGGTAAATATTTAACATGCCTTTTTTTCCCATTACAGAGTAAGTTGGAGATATCAACCCCTTTATCCCTAAACATTTCAATATAGATTTCTTTTTCTTTTTTTTTTTTATATTTATTTTTTAGTTTTCGGTGGACACAGCATCTTTATTTTATGTGGTGCTGAGGATTGAACCCAGCACCAGGCGAGCGCACTACCGCTTGAGCCACATCCCCAACCCTTTTTATTTTTTAATTTTTTAATTTTTTTTATTTTGGGGTACTAGGGATTGTAGTGTATCAAGGGCACTTGATCACTAAACCACATCCCCAGCTGTATTTTGTATTTTATTTAGAGACAGTCTCACTGAGTTGCTTAGCGCCTTGCCATTGCTGAGGCTGGCTTTGAACTCTTGATCCTCCTGCCTCGGCCTCCCTAGCCGCCGGGATTACAGGCATTTGCTACTGCACCCGGCTATTTTTTATTTTTGATACTAGGGACTGAACTCAGGGGCACTTGACCAGTGAGCCATATCCCCAGCCCTGTTTTGTATTTTTTATTTAGAAACTGTGTCTCACTGAGTGACTTAGTGCCTCGCTTTTCTTGAGGCTGGCATTGAACTTGTGATCATCCTCTCTCAGCCTCCTGAGCCACTGGGATTACAGGCATGTGCCACCATTCCCACCCTTTTAATTTTGATTCAGGGTTTTGCCACGTTGCTTGAGGCCTTGCTAAATTTTGATCCTAAGTGTTGTGTATGGCCTTGAGTAAAGACCCTTGAAATGAATCTAATATATTAGGATCTTTCAAACCAGGAAATGAAATTATAGACTTATTAGGAACAAATCTCAGGTTAATGTTTTTGATAAATTTTAGAAGGCCATATCAATGTTTAACACTCCTCCCCCCAACTTCATTTTTTTTTAAGAGAGAGAGAGAGAGAGAGAGAATTTTTTAATATTTATTTTTTAGTTTTCGGCGGGCACAACATCTTTGTATGTGATGCTGAGGATCGAACCCAGGCCGCACGCATGCCAGGCGAGTGTGCTACTGCTTTAGCCACATCCCCAGCCGTCCCCCAACTTCTTTATACCATATTCTTTTAGCATTGGTATTTCAGGGTCTTTTCTGTTTTGCCATGGGCTGAAATAGGGCTTGGTTTGATACATATAAAGTTAGCTGTCTTTAGAAAGCAAGTGCATGCTCATAACTTACTGCCTCACCGGATGCCATGCAGTAACCCTATAGCAGAATCCTAGATGGTGGACCAAGTAGTTTTTTTTTTTTTTTAACCTTTCTAGAGTGACAATTATTTCAGTAAAGGTAAGCATGTGGAAATTCCAGTGCATTTGTTGTGAGAAGTCTTATTTGGCTTCATTGGCATTAACAACAATTGAAAATGCAAATAATTGACTTTTTTTTTGCAGTACAGTGAATTGAACCAAGGGGTGCTCTACTACTGAGCTACAGTTGCCAGTCTGGTCTCAAATTTGTAATCCTCTTGCCTCAGCCTCCTGAGTAGCTGGAATTATAGGGTGTGTGCTACTGATCTAAATGATTGATTTTTTTTTTTTTTTTTTTTGGTACCAGATATTGAACCCAGGGGCACTTAACCACTGAGTCACATCCCCAGCTCTTTTTATTTTTTTATTTTAGTATCAGGGATTGAACCCAGGGGTGAGGCTTAACCATCAATGCACATCCTGGACTGTTTTCTGTGTTTTAATTTGGGGGGGGTACCAGGGATTGAACTCGGGGGCACTCAAACACTGAGCCACATCCCCAGCCCTATTTTTGTATTTTATTTAAAGACAGGGTCTCACTGAGTTAGTTGTTAGTACCTTGCTAAATGGCTGAGGCTGGTTTGAGCTTGTGAACCTCCTGTGCTACTGGAATTACAGGCATACACCACCAAGCCCAGACAAATGATTGGCTTCTTAAGGCTTCCCGAGTCATTTAAGTGTTTAGCATCCAGGTTCCAAGAGGATTTCGCGTAGAGAGGGTGAATATTTTCATAAATTTGAACTCTTGATAAATGTTGGTATAGGATTTTGAAATCCTTCTAAGACTTAAAATGTAGAAATTTATTTTTAAGTCATTTTAGGAAAGTGGTAGTGTGGTTTACCACTAAATTATGTCCCCAGTCCTTTTCTTATTTTATTTTGAAATAATGTCTCACTAAGTTACCCAGGCTGAGCATGAACTTGTGATCTACCTGCCTCAACCTACTGAGTAGATGGGATTATCTGTGTTTGCTTTTCTTACTTGGTACATATGAGTTGTTCTGGCATTCAGATCTAATTTTACAGAGATAATTGGGTGGTTTTTGTTGTTTGTTTTTTGCTGAGATCTGCTTTAGCTTGATCTTGAAGGTTCTATAGAAGACATTTAGGAACTTCATCAAATGAGTTGGTAACCTGGACTGGAAATGTGTGATTTTATGTTAAAATAAAAAGAACCATTTTTTTACTAGGGATTTAGGCTTGCCTTTAGAGTTAGGTTTGCCTCCTAAAAGTTTCAGCAAATAGGATATCTTCTGCCAGAGCAGGGTATACTAAGAAAGGCAGACTGTTTTGCGTCTGGTTTCAGTTTTCATAAATCATTACCTTCTTGAGGAAAGCTTTCTAAGTGAAAGGCTTAAAAAAAAAAGCTCTTGGGGTTGACTTATTTTCATGTCCCTCTTTGTTGTTAAGACATGACTTGTGTGTTGTTTTGTGTATCTTTCTTTCTAAATAGGTATACTTTTCTCAAAAGCTTTTAAATTTTGTAGTAGAGATTGAATTGAGCTAGGTATAGTGGCACATGCCTGTCATCCCAGCTGAGGCAGGAGGATCACAAGTTCAAGGCTAGCCTCAGCAACTTGGTGAGGCTCTAAGCAATTTGGAAAGACCATGTCTCAGATTTTTTTTTTTTTTTTTTTTAAGGTGGTGGGGTAGTTGGGAGCTGGGAACGTAGCTCAGTAGTAAAGTATCCCTGGGTTCAATCACCAGTACCCAAAACCAAAGATTGAATCTACCTGGGCACTGTGGCACACATATGCACACCCAGCGGCTTAGGAGACTGAGGCAGGAGAATCTCAGGTTAAAAGCCAGCCTCAGCAACTTAACAAGGCTGTAAGCAACCTAGTGAGACACTGTCTCAAAATAAAACATATAAAGGCTGAGGATGTTGTTTAGTGGTTTAGCACCCTTGCGTTCAATCCTTGGTACCAAAAAAATTTTTAAAAAGATTGAACTCGTGAACCCTCACATTTACTTATGCTTCATAATTCTTTCTGTGGCCATTGAGCTTGATTTAAAAAAATTTAAGAGCACAGAATGTCATATTGTCCAGGCTGGTCTCCTTTGATGTAAAATAACAACTTTGTCTTAAAGGAAATAAGACCATTTTAATTTTTTTTTTCCTGAGGCAAATATGAGTGACCATGCCCTAAAAACAGATTAAATTACCCTGAATGACATGTTTTACTGTGGAAAAGGTTATATGAAGTCACCAAACAGAAGAAACTCATAAATCAAACACTTATAACTGATAAGCACCCCTGGGTTCAATCCCTGGTACAAAGTGAGAGAGAGAGAGAGAGACAGACAGACAGGATATTATGTCAGTATGAAAGTTAAGGTAAGTAGTTGTTAAAGGGCCTAAAATGTCCTGAGATGATTTTGGCTATCGAAAACATTCTTTCTCTGTACCCATCACTGTGTTCTAGTCAGCTAAGGTTAAGCATTCTGCAGAATCTTCAACATATATATAGATGCAGTTTCTTCAGAGAACTTCAGTTTACATTGTCACAGAGCAGGAAGCTGAAACTCCAAACCTCAATTCTGGTGTTGCAACAAAAGAAAATTTAAAGTCAGACACCAAGAGTCATGTAAGAGAATTTTATAATCAATGAAGATAAAGTGGAATGAAGTGAGAGTAAGGTGAAAGTAAAGAAGGCACAAGCAGAGAACACTCTCAAGGGAAAGAGTGATAACAAAGGAAACAAAGCTACTTCCACATTCATTGTTGTTTTTGTGTTTGCCTTGAAAACTGGACCACTTTCTGCATCATTCTTTACCAATCAGGTATTCAACTCCTTCACATCAGGCAGTGGAGTTTTTTACCCTAATTGGTCCTTTCTGTTGTGGTAGCCATCCTATTCAAAAGGTCTTCATCTGTAAGTCAAGCCTATGTTAATGTGGCTGGGGTCAGCAATCAGAGAGGTTAACTTATCATGGTCCTCAAGATTTTGCCCTTTCTGAAACAAGGAGACACTTGGGGCCATAACTTCTAGTTTATCTTGACCTTTATGGGCTCTGTAGAGAGTTAGACCCATAAATCTTTCTTTCTTAATGTATTCCCCCAACTGGCTCTTTTAACATTGTTTATCTTCAAGGTTTATGTACTAATGTTTTTCTACAGGTTATCTACTATAAGTTATTTACTCATCTGTCTTGGCAGTACCTTATAATAAACCTGTGATTTTAAATAAACCTTAAAATAAATCTGTAGGGATCTTGCTATGCATTTTACTATTCATTTCTACTAACTACTACCTAACAGCATCTCAAACTCAGAGCTCTCTGGGGTTCAAGGAATCCCCAGCCTCAGCCTCCTAAGTAGTTGGGACTACAGGTATACCACCTCATCCCTTGATTAATTGATTTTTCCTCCTTTGGTGTTTGGAGGGTGGTACTGGGGATTGGATCCAGGCGTATTCTACCATTGAGCTATATCATTAGTCCTTTTTTTTTTTAATACATTTTTTAGTTGTAGATGGACCTTTATTATTTCTTTATGTGGTGCTGTGGTTCAAATTCTCATACATGCTAGCAAGCGCTCTACCACTGAGCCACAGCTCTAACCCCTCCATTTTGTTTTTGATTATGAGATAAGGTCTTGCTAAATTGTCTAGGCTGGCCTCAAACCTGATGATCTTCTTGCCTCAGCCTTGTGAGTCAGTGGGATTATAGTAATGCACCACGGTGCCTAGCTATTTCCTCCTTTTGGATGCAATTCTGTTTTCTTTTCAGTGTTAGAACTTACTGACTGAGACTCCTCATCCTCACCACATCATTTCAAGTGCTACTCTTTATATGGAGATGTCATATTTTGGAGTTGAAGAATTTTGATGATTTTTTTTTTCTCTGTCCATTTCCTCATCAGACCAAAGAGAACCTTATACAGTAAGAAATATGGTGTGGACCTCATCAGATACACGCATGCAGCAAACACAGTCGTTTACAGCTCTAACAAAATAGACGGTAAGCAAACCTTTTTAGGAAGTTAAGGTTATGGTTTCCTTTGTTAAATAGTTCATGAAATCTTTGTGACTACTTCTGCTTTGTTTATAGTTTAGTTTATTTTCTATGATGTTAGCAATTTGGTAATTAAATTATAACTAAAGGAATGCTGGAAGCAGTACTAGCACTTTGAAAGATTTGGAACTAAGAATGAAAAATCTACAGTTAATATTGAGTAGAAAAGGAAGCAACTAATTACATTTACTTCTAAGTTAATACTCCTTGAAACTTGAAAAAATACTTTTAGAACAAATAAAAGGAAAGAATACTTGACACATAGCAAGTAGTAAACTATTGAAGAAAAATAGTTCCCATTCTTAATATGTAGATTTGAGGTCTGGGGGTGTATCTCAGTGGTAGAACTTAACAAAAGGCTCTGAGTTGGATCCCTAGCGCCGCAAAAACAATATGTAGATTTGAGAAGAGTTTTCATAAAAATATGAGAAAACTTTAGTTCACTCTTCAAATCCCTGGGCTCTAGCAAACTCTTAGGCTCAGATGATCCTTCTGCCTCAGTAGAAGTTTAAATAAAGAAGAGTTTTTGATATAGTGCATCATTTAATGGTCTGTGTCATAAAGGACAGTATACTAACCTTAGTCATCTTTGATTTTAGGGATACTTTTTTAATCTGAATTTTATTCACCCCTCCACCCCCACTCCTGCTTTTTTTTTTCTTTCTTTTTTTGCGGTGCTGGGGATTGAACCCAGGGCCTTGCGTATGCCAAGTAAACTAAGATATATCCTCAGTCCCTCCCTTTTTACTTTTAAATAAAACTGATCATCTTTGAAGAATAAATTATTTTTAGAAATTAAAACCTGTGAATTTCTTTCTGTAATAAACGGTCTTTGTTTTTATCTGCATTTCCCCTGGGATGACTCCTTCCAAGTTAAAAGATTGTCTTGATAATTGAGCTATAACACTTAATTTCATATTAGGACTCTTTTTTTTTTTTAACGTTGCCTCATTGGTTTATTGTTTTACTTTTTATAGTAACCTCTCTCTAATGTCATTCAACAAGGATTGCTTAGACTGCAATTTTGGCTGTGTCTGTCTCAGAGCAGATGGGCAGAAGTCTTCATATTTTTTGTTTGTTCTTTTTTCCTTTAACAAGATCTTCTACCTGTAGTTGATTTTTTAGTAAGTATATTATTTCTACTTTTCATGTCTCTATTTCAGAAGTGGTTTTTTAATAAACAGTGCAGTTGATGCTTTTGGATAAGAATATAAAACATTAGGATCCTGAGGAAAATATTTGTATATAATCATCTGAATGACTGGTACATTTCTTCTGTTGGGCTGCTTTTCTGAGTGATTAAATGAGGATTCTCCAAATGTGGTACAATATCAGGCAAATGTGTGGCACTTGCAGCTTTGCTGCCAGGCCTCTGCTGTGGGAATCTTGCTTTTCCTGTCTCAAGTGCATCCTGAAGAGTTCTTCCAGCGCTCCGTTTCCTTTTTGCCTGATTCCAGGCTGAGGTAGTAGTTTGTACAGTTTGAGGGTCTATGATACCACCCGGTACAAGGAGATAACTGTACAGGCCACTGCCTTGCCAGGAACAGCGCGCCAGCTACCAAGTGGGGCGGAAAGGATGGTGAAGCCCTGCTCGTCTCTGGGAATCCAGGTAATGGGGAGGAAGTCTTTTCTTCTTAGGGCAGGTGAGTAGTTTCTAACACTAGATCAGGAATACTTTATAGTTGTCATTTGAGAAGTTTGAAGATGTTTTCAAAGAAACTGTAGTTACAGAACATAAAAAGGTAGCCTTTTCTGAAATTTCCCAGGTTAAATACCCTCTTATTAGGAAGTACAATTATGAACCACCACTGGGTGAATCACATGCTGCTTTCAACCTCTATGTTCTGGATTTCTGTTTGACTTTAGAATGTTCTTTCTGTGCTTTTGTTTCCCTGCATTTTGGTATCATTTTCTATTACTATTTTTCAGCAATTTCTTCTTTTTCCTCATCTTTTTTAGAAGCATAGTACTTTCCTACTTTTCCAATTCTGTTCTTTATGGCACTTAATTCCCCTGCCACCATCATCTTTTTTATTGTTTACTTTTTAAAATAGAATGATTTGTTTTTTTCTTTCCATTTTTATTTTTGGTATTGGACATTTAACGCAGGGGTGCTTTATCACTAAGCAACATCCCCAGTAAGTTGCTGAGAGCTTTGCTGATTTACCGAGGCTGGCCTCAAACTTGCAGCCCCCTGTCTCAGCTTCCCAAGTTGCTAGGATCACAGGCAAGCACCACTATGCCCAGCTGATTAGTGGGTTTTTTTTTTGGGGGGGGGGTTATGTGTGGGGGGGATTCTTTTTTTCTTTTTGGGGTGCTGGGAATCAAACCCAGGGCCTCATGCCAGCAAGCACTTTACCACTGAGCCACATTCCCAGCCCCTGACCTGGATTTTAAGGGTGTGTGTCTTCTTTTTCCTAAGCACAAATCTTGCTGATTATTCCTTTCTTTAAAACTGCAAAATCTCATTTCTGTTACTTGATATATTTCGTGAGTTTGATATATATATATATATATATATATATATTTTTTTTTTTTTTTTAATGTCCTCAACCCAAATCTAGACATTAGTTTCTGTGTTAGTTGCAGTGTACATTGTGTATCCTATGGAATGTTGGGATGGGACAGTCTTGAAGACCCCTGGAAAAAATTGCTGCCAGGGTCCATCCTGATCTGTAGCTTATTGTGGCTGCTCATAGCTTTGAGCCTGTTTCCTCAGCAGCCAAATGTGTTTCTATAAGGTTTTTCCATTCTGTGGGCACTAAGACTAATAGTTTTTTGCCAGGGTATATTTGCAGGGCAAGTTGCATTGTAATTTTGAAGAAGCCAAATATTGATAGTCGAACAGTGATTTATTTTACTTTTATTTTTGGTATTGATTGGGATTGAACCCAAGGCGTCATACATGTTAGGCAAGCACTCTACCACTGAGTTATACCCAGAGCCCCCAAACGGCTCTGTCTGTATGCTGTTAACTTAGAACTGCTTTTGAGTTGTGAGAAATCTATATACCTACTCTTAAGCTGCTAAGAAGAATTATTCACCATTATTTATTAAACACTTTACTTGGGTGATGGAATACAGTGGGTTTTTGATCCTGTCTTTTCTTCAAGATGAAACTGCAAAGTAAATTGCTTTTAAATAATATAGTATCACCATCCCTTATTTGTCTTCTTGCAGATACTATCCGTTACCTATCCTTACATGACAACAAATACATCAGATACTTTCCTGGACATAGCAAAAGGTAAGACCCAGGTATTGCAGAATTGGGTAGTTATTTTATCCCTGAGCTAACCCAGAAAACAGAAGAGTGGATTTTATTAGTGAACCAAAGCTATTTCCTCACTGCTCTTTGGTATTCTTTTTATAAATCTTTAGGAAGATATAGTCATGGTGATGTTGGGAATGAGTCTGATAACCATCAGGAACAAGTAGCCAGCTATTGGGGTAGGTTGGGATTGAAGTTGGGTATTCTACCACCAAGTAAACCTGACTATCTTTGTTTCATTAGCCTGCCCCCACATATGCTAGAGATTGAACCCAGTGGTACTAAAGCATGGAGCCACATCCCCAAATCTTTTAATTTTAAGACAAGATCTCTCTAAGTTGTGGCTTTTTGTTAGCCCTTCTTAAATAGTTAATTCTCAATTTCCCAAGGTTGTGAAAGCAGGGGTAGAGCTACAAAGATAAAGAAAATCTCAGTTAAAATATAAGGAGGTCTGGGGTTGTGGCTTAGTGGTAGAGTGCTTGCCTAGCATGTGGGAGGCACTGAGTTCAATCCTCAGCACCACGTAAATTTAAATAAATAGAATAAATTTAAAAAAATATGTGTGTGTGTGTGTATGTATGTATGTGTGTATACACACACGTGTATGTAAGGGACCAAGCACAGTGGTGCATACCAGTAATCCCATTGATTTAGGAGGCTAAAGCAGGAGGATTACAAGTTCAAAGCAAGTCTGGGTGAATTAGCAAGACCCTATCCCAAAATAAAAAGGGTTGGAGATCCAACTAAGTGGTAAAGTGCCCCTGATTCAATTCCCAGTACATACCCCCCCCCCCAAAAAATACGAGTGTGTGTGTAGATGGATGGATGGATAGATAGATAGATAGATAGATAGATAGATAGATAGATAGATAGATAGATAGCAGGGGCTAGAGGTGTATCTCATTGGCAGAGTATGTGTTTAGCATGCAGGAGATGCTGAGTTCAATCCCTTTAATCCCTTGGATTAAAGACACTTAGTAATAAACCTATGTAGTAAAAATTACAGTTGGCATTTAAAAATGCCAATCTCAGGTATCCCTTAATGAAAGAACCGTTTGCGTTTATGAGGCTTTCCAGTACAGGTGGCCCCCATTTCAGCAGGTCCCTTCAAAAAAAATGTTACATGTGAAGCTTTTTGTGTTGGTGGGTGGGGAGGAGGGTTCACTCATGCTAGGCAAATGAGCTAGCTTCACGCTCAGCCCCCACATTCAAAGATCATTTTTTTTTTTTTGAGAGAGAGAGAGAATTTTTTAATATTTATTTTTTACTTCTCAGTAGACACAGCATCTTTGTTTGTTTGTGTTGCTGAGGATTGAACCCGGGCTGCACGCATGCCAGGCAAGCACGTTACCTCTTGAGCCACATCCCCAGCCCTCAAAGATCTTAAAGAAGGTGCAAAATGGAAGCAAACACATTTTTGCTTTTTTTTAGGGGGGTGGGAATCAGGGATTGAACTCAGGGTAATTTAACCACCAAACTACATCCCTAGTTCTTTTTTTGCTACTGGAATTGAACTCAGGGGCACTCAACCACTGAGCCACATTCCCAGCCCTATTTTGTATTTTTATTTAGAGATGGAATCTCATTGAGTTGCTAGCACCTTACTAAAAGCTACCTTTGAATTCATGATCTTCCTACTCAGCTTCCTGAGTTGCTGGAATTATAGGCATGTACCACCACACTGCCTGGCTTTTTTGTTAAAGTCAAGAAGTTTAACTCCTTGTTCTATATTATTTTTTTTTTTTATTTATTTTTTAGTTTTCGGCAGACACAACATCTTTATTTGTATGTGGTGCTGAGGATCGAACCCAGGCCGCACGCATGCCAGGCGAGCGCACTACCACTTGAGCCACATCCCCAGCCCCCTTGTTCTATATTATATAATATATGCAGGCTGTTTCTTTTTACCCTCACCCTACTTCCCCTAATTTTTTTTCTCCAATTTTTCCAATTTGGCTGAATGCTGTTAACAAATATTTATCTTCTTGGATAATATTTCAGTCTCTTGGGGTTATTTTCTCCTATTCTAATTTATAAAAATGTATAGTAACCCAGGATGGCTTAGAGTGTTACAGAGTCCTGACAAAAAATGGACTGAGAGCTACCTGTTAATAGTTGTACTTCTGAGGCTCAGGGGTACAGTGCTCATCTAGCACATCTAAGACCCTGGGTTAGATCCTCAGCATCACATAAAAATAAATAAAATGAAGGTATTGTGTCCATCTACAACTAAAAAATAAATAACAGTTGTACTTTTGAGTGATTAGCATTCTTGTGTTGCGGAAGACTGGAGATTGTAGCTGTTGGTTATTGTGTATGAATCAGTATTCACAGATTTACTGCTTATAATTAAGGGTTAATGTGCCTGCTGAGATTTTTTTCCATTCTTCCTTATTGTATCTTCTTTACCCAGAAGTACTTTACCATTGATCTATATCACCATTCCTTTTAATTTTTTGTTTTGAGACAAGATCTCACTAAGTTGCTTAGGACCTCATTAAATTGCTGCTGATGCTGGCCTCAAACTTTTGATCCTTCTGCCTCAGACTCTCAAATCACTAAGATTACAGACTTGCACTACTGTGCCTGGCTCTTCATTCCTCAACCCTGTTTCTTAGTAGATGACTGTGTTCCTCTGTTAAGAAAATCACGGTTATCCAAATGAGTACTTTTGAACTTATATCCCTTTTCCTGAAATTCTTCTCTTTGGATCTCCTTCCTTGAAAAAGAAGTAGCCTTCCTTCCTTGATGAAATTAACCTCCCACTTTCGACTTGGCTTCTGTCTCTATAATTGACCTTTTCCTTATTGCATCTACAAACTTACTTGGAATTCCTCATCTTAAGTCTATTTATTGATCCTTTCACCCACTTTTCACTATCAAATATGATAGAAGAATATCTACATTTTCATCTCCAACACCTCATACTTTTCAGTGTTTAAAAACACTTGCTCTAGTCTGTTAGAGTCATATGGACTTGGACACTTAGGTTTCTAACTGCCTCAACTTTCTCTGGAGATTTTGGCTTTTAACAGTATCTTTTGTTAAGGAGCTAGTGCAAATGTTGAGTTATGATTGGAAGAAGAGTTTTTTGGTGATTAACTCAGGATGGTACAGGTGGACTACTCCTTATCCCTCGAAGTTTTCAGATTTTAGAATATTTGCATATGTATAATGAGATATCTTAGGAGCGGGACTTATTGTAAACATGAAATTTATTTATGTTTCATATATACCTTACTCATAGCCTGAAGTTAATTTCATTCAGTATTTCTGGTTCATCCCATTTTGACTACAGCCCCATATGTATGATCAAGTGTGGAATTTTCCACTTTCAGTGTCATGTCTTTTCCACTTTCAGTGTCATGTCAGTGCTTAAAAAGATACATGCTGGGCAAGTACCCTACCATCCCTAGCCCCTTAATTTTCAGATTAGGAATGTTCAAGCTAGGCATGCTAGGCGTGTACTCTACCACTGAGCCACAACCCTATCCCCGCAATCTACATTTTAAAACACCTCTTCCAGTGATGCTGATGCCACTCTAGTTTGGAAACATTAGTGTACTCTTGTACTGTACTGTTGTTTTGTTTTTCTTTTAATTGTATTTTGAGACTTGCCAAGTTGCCCAAGCTAGGATTATAGATGTGTACCACCACACCTAGCTACTACCATCCTATTAAGAAACCATGCTTCTTTAAAAAATTGATATATAGTTATCAAGCCATGAGTTATTCATTTTATTTTTTGGTACTAGGGATTGAACCCAGGGGTACTTTATCACTGAGCTATATCCCCAGTCTGTTTTATTTTTTATTTTGAGATAAGAGTCTTGCTCAGTTGCTTAGGACCTTGCTAAGTTGCTCAGGCCCGTCTTAAATTTGAGATCCTCCTTCCTCAGTCTCCCAAGTTGCTAGGGTTATAGATGTGTGCCACCATGCCAACCTAAATTATCCATTTTAAAGTGTCCGGTTTAGTGATTTTTGGCGGGGGAGAGTGGGTTTATATTCACAAGAGTTGGGCCACAATCCTTGCTATATAATTCCAAAACATTTTCATCACCCCAAAGAGAAATCCCATACCCATTCACATTCACTTCCCCAGTGTCCCTCACAACCACTAATCTACTTTCTTTCTCTGTAGATTTGCATATTCTAGACATTTTGTATAAATGGAAAAAGAAAACTTGTGTCCTTAGTTTCTTTCACTTAGGGTGATGTTTCTAAGGTCTATCCAGGTTGTCAATATGAGTCAGTACTTCATCACTTTTTGTTACCAAACAATATTCCATTGCATTTTATGGGTGAACCACATTTTGTTTATCCATTCATTAGTTAATGGACATTTGGATTATTTCCTCTCTTTTTACATTTCTATCAGCAGTGTATAAGTATTCCAATTGCTCTACCATCCTCATCAACGTCCGTTAATTATTATAGCTATGCTTGTGTGTGTAAAGTAGTATCTCATTGTGGTTTTAGAATTATATATTTTTATAGTAAGGCTTTAAGTTGCTTTTTTCCATCATACTAGTTGGCTTTGATTATTTCAGATATGCTTGCATATATTTCCTAGAATAGCAGTTTTGGGAAACAGGTATATATAGCTAGGCAGAGTGGCTAGAGTTCACATCCAATTTTTGCTCATATTTTGCTTCAACTCCTATTTATCTTGATACATTACAGGGTGGTGGCCTTGTCCATGTCACCTGTGGATGACACTTTCATTTCTGGGTCTCTTGATAAGACTATTCGACTCTGGGATCTCCGGTCTCCTAACTGCCAGGTAATGATAACCTCACAGTTACATTTTGTAGCATTTCCTGTGGTAGGCATTATAATCAATTCTCTCTTTCAAGAAGGAAAGCAAGCACTGGTTCCATTCTGAGATCCCAGAGTCTTCCTAAACTTTAGAGGAAACTTGTTTTCCTGGTAGATTGCTGCTTGGTAAGCGGATAACCCTAATCTAGTGTAGTTGGCTTTATACTCTGTGGCTTATTGTTTTAAAAAATTCTTTTCTTAGAGCTTTTGAGCCACAGGTTTTAGCCTCAGGGGATTTGTTTTTATTTGAACTTTTTGTCTATTATATTGTGCAGTTAGGATTGATTAGAAATCTATTTATATGGTGACTTCTTTTTTTAAAAGCTTCAATTTAGTTTGATTTTTGTTTGCTTTTTCTGTACTGTAGGTAGGCTTAATTTTCATTAGGAAAGGTCAATTATATGGTGGTGGGATTCTTACTAACTTTTTGTCGTCTTTCTTCTTTCCTTAGGGCCTCATGCATCTTCAGGGCAAGCCAGTTTGTTCTTTTGATCCAGAAGGGTTAATTTTTGCTGCAGGTGTCAACTCTGAAATGGTCAAACTTTATGACCTTCGTTCTTTTGATAAGGTTTGAATCTTTGAATTATCTTGATGGTATGGAAGTTTTAGAGAAAAGATGGTTATATTAAGCCCTTTTTTTATGGTAGAGGGAATATGTGGTAGATATTAAAGAGCCATAGTTTATCTTGTGCTTTCCCACTCAAAAAGGAATTTCAGTAGCAGAGTGCTTGCCTAGCACCCACAAGGCCCTCAGTTCTGTCCTCGGCCCTGGGGGCTGAGGGGGGTGGGAATGGGTGGAAGAAAAAAGAAATCTAAACTGATATAGAAAGGGAGTTAGCTCTGACAGAAGGAATTATAAATGTTCTTTGTCGTGGGGCTGCTTTTACCTTTTGCAGGGACCATTTGCAACATTTAAGATGCAGTATGATCGGACTTGTGAGTGGACAGGACTCAAGTTCAGCAATGATGGCAAGCTTATACTCATCTCCACCAACGGCAGCTTCATACGTCTCATTGATGCATTCAAGGGAGTGGTGATGCACACATTTGGGGTGAGCTGACATTTTTTTTTTCCCCTGTTACTGGGAATTGACCCCAGAAGCGCTTTACCACTGAGCTATATCCCCAACCCTTTTTAAACTTTGAGACAGGGTCTCGTTTAGTTTCCTAGAACAGCAGATTTGGGAAACAGGTATATATAGCTAGGCAGAATGGCTATAAAGTTCACATCCAATTTTGCTCATATTTTGCTTCAACTCCTATTTTTTAAAATATTTATTTTTTTAGTTTTAGGTGGACACAATATCTTTATTTTATTATTATGTGGTGTTGAGGATCGAACCCAGTGCCTCGTGCATGCCAGGCAGGCGCACTACCACTTTGAGCCACATCCCCAACCCTTCAACTCCTATTTATCTTGATGATTCCAGACTGGCCTGGAACTTGCAATCCTCCTGCCTTAGCCTCCTAAGGCAGCTGGGATTAGAGGTCTGCACCATTGTGCCTGGCTTAATTGATATCCTTTGAGCATAACTGCTTGCTTGCTTCTCCCTCCTGGGCTGAAAATTGTATTAGTGATGTATAATAGCAGTTATCTTTTCACTGATTAAGGCATGAGCTTGCACCATCTTTCTGTCTATGAACTTTGTTCCTTTGGATTCAGAGCATTTGCTTCTCACCAAGTGACCAAAGTGAGGTGTTTAGATATAAAATAATTCTTAATTGCTCAGTGTGGTGCATACCTGTAATGCCAGCTACTTAGGAGTTAAAAGAGTATTGCAGGTTAAAGGCCAGCTTCGGCACCTTGGCAAGACCTTGTCTCAAAATTAAAAAAAAATAAAAGGGGCTGGGAAGGTAGCTCAGTGGTAGAGCACCCCTAGGTTCAATAAAAGTTTTCTTGCCCCTACCCCCCCATATAGGATTCGGTTAGGAAGTGAATATTTTAAGGGTGGCAACTGTATTTGAAACCTTGGTGGTATAGAATATAATGAGAGGGTTTCCTGGAAGATGATGTGTTTACTGGGTTGATGTTCTAGGCATTTTTAAACTAGTGACCCTATAACAACAAGAGAACTGCTTTGTTTGGTTTTGTTTTAGGGTTACGCCAACAGCAAAGCTGTCACACTAGAGGCTTCATTTACTCCAGACTCTCAGTTTATTATGATTGGTAAGCTTCCTTCATTTCTCTTGGAGTTATTTCTGTGGTACTGTGCATTTGTTCAAGCTATTAAACTGATTATGATATCATAACCTGTTTAATAGATGTTTTCAGGTTTCTGTACAGCACATATATCAAGGATATAGTGTCTTTAAACTGTCTGACTTTGGGGTGTTCTTTGCTGGAACCAACATTACTGTTGATCTTCCCTTGACCAGCATTAGAATTAAGCTCTAAAATTACTTTATTAGTATTATTAACTTCCTGGAATAACCCTATGTTCAATTGCCTCAGTGGCTAGATATTGTTAAGCTAATGGTATTCAGCCTCTTTTTGGATGGGAAAAGTAAAGTTAGAGGGGAAGTGACTTGCCTGAAATAAATAAACAAGGTCAAGTTCAAATCCCAAGGCTGGAACTATATAGCTCAAGGGTAGCATGCATGCCTAGCATGCTCAGGGACCTGGGTTCAATTGGCAGTGCCTCTTTCACGCAAAAAAGACTAATTCCCAAATTGAGTGTGCTTCCTTCACTGTTTCTCCTTCCTCCCACTTTGTACTGAGGGCTGGATCCTGAAGCTTGTCTTTTCTCCAGACCTCAGTCATATCTCTCAATCATGTCTTTCTTATTTCAGTTGTTTTTGTATTGAGCTATTAAATTTTCCTTGATGATTCTCTTTAGGTTCAGAGGATGGCAAGATCCATGTTTGGAATGGAGAGAGCGGTATAAAAGTAGCTGTACTGGATGGTAAACACACAGGCCCCATTACCTGTTTGCAGTTTAACCCCAAGTTCATGACTTTTGCCAGTGCGTGTTCCAACATGGTATGTGAACAATGCTAAGTGTCTTCTACATAGGGGCCCTCTCCTTTGGGGTGGCAGTGAGCATAGCATGCTGTAGGTACTGAGTACCTGTTTGTCATCTGGCTTCCCTGTTCACCTCCCATCATGTAATGTTTGGCTGGGGTATTTTTTTATTCTTCCCACGAACTGGGGTCACCTCTTGAGTTCCCAAGAGATTGAAGGCCAGTTTTTGCTATGACCTCTGCTTTTAGACTTAAATTACCTAGACTAGTCTTCAGTATAGGGGTAGGAGTTGGAGATTACCTAGACTATGCTAGACACCTTTTTTGCTGCTGGTAGTCTTTTTTTTTTTTGGTACTGGGGATTGATCTTGGGGGTACCCAACTACTGAGCCATATTCCCAGCTCTATTTTTTGTATTTTATTTAGAGACAGGGTCTCACTGAGTTGCTTAGTGCCTCAATTTTGCTGAGGCTGGCTTTGAACTCACAATCCTCCTGCCTCAGACTCCCAAGCCACTCGGATTATAGGCGTGCACCACTGCACCCAGTTTGTTCTTGGTATTCTGAACCATTTTTTGTATGTTTTGGCACTGGGGATTGAACCCAAAAGTACTTTACCACTGAACTATATTCCCAGCCCTTTTTTGGGAGGGAGGGATGGTGTCTCACTTAAGTTTTCAGGTTGGCCTTGAACTTGGGATCCTCATGCTTCAGTCTCCTCAGTTGCTGGGATGTAGGCATATACCATCATGCCCAGCTGAACCCATTTTTTTGTGACTACATCCTTTCAGTCTTTCATTTCTCTTGGTTTACACAGATTTCCTCAAAAACTCTTAACAGTTGATGATAACTCACCACTTAGAATTAACTCTAGGTCTTTGTCTCTTCCTAGACAAGACTTTGAAAACAAAGGATCAGTGAGTCTCAGCTCCTAGTTTTCTTCTTGGATCTCTTAAACCTGCCTGGGTATTTGCATATTACCTAGAGTACGTTGCTTCCTCTCTTTTTTCTTTTATTTTCTTTTCATTCTCCTTCCTTCCCTGAAATCCCAGCTATTCAGCTGGGTCACAAGTTCAAGGCTAGCCTCGGCAACTTAGTAAGACCCTATCTCAAAATAAAAATTAAAAGTAGATATAGCCGGATTACAGGTATTGCCACTACACCGGTCTCCTTCCTTTTTTTTTTTTTTTCCTTCCTTTTTTAAAAAAACCAAGCAAGTAATCTCGGAAGAAATGTGGAAAAAAGGGCTGGGGATGTGGCTCAAGCGGTAGCGCGCTCGCCTGGCATGCGTGCGGCCCGGGTTCGATTCTCAGCACCACATACCAACAAAGATGTTGTGTCCGCCGAGAACTAAAAAATAAATATTAAAAATTATCTCTCTCTTTCTCTCCTCTCTCACTCTCTCTTTAAAAAAAAAAAAAAAAGAAATGTGGAAAAAAGCATCCAATTCAATCCCTCTCATTTTTGTGGCTCAGGAAGAAGAGGGGTCAGTTTGAGGTCACCTGGCAGATTACCATTGAGGCCAGGTTCCCCAAATAGCATTCCTCTTTTTCTTCACATACTGGACCACTGTGGTGGAAGGTGGACAGTGAGTATTGGAAGGAAACAGAACCAGCTTAACTTTCATAGAGTGAAGAGTGTTTCTTTTCTTTTTTGTGGGGAGATACCAGGGATTAAACTGGGGGGCACTTGACTACTGAGCCCCATCCCTAGTCCTCTTTTGTATTTTTTTAGAGATAGGGTCTCATTGAGTTGCTTAGCACCTCATTTTTGCCGAGGCTGGCTTTGCACTCAAGATCCTCCTGCCTCAGCCTCTCCAGCCCCTGGGATACAGGTATGTGCCACAGTGCCTAGGTGGAGTGTTTGTTTTCAGACTGCCAGGGTTGGTCATTTGGGAGGGAATGACACCAGGCCATAACTCTCCACCATTGGGGATCGGGGGTATAGAGAGCACTTCACAAGCCTGGTTGCTGACACATGCCTGTAATATCATCTATTTGGGAGGTTGAGGCAAGAGGATTGCAAGTTTAACACTAACCTAAACAATTTAATGAGACCTGGTCTCAAAATAAAAAGGGCTATGGATACAGCTCAGTAGTAGAGTGCTTGCCTAGCATTGCCCCAGGCTCTGGGTTCAATCTTGAGGTGGGGAGAGGGGGCTTGGCTTTTTAAAGCTGGCTTATATGACTTGTGTTCTCTTTCCAGGCCTTCTGGTTGCCAACCATTGATGACTGACCCTGATGCTACTCAGCTATTTCTGTATAATGGGGGTGGCCAGCAGGAAAAACTCAGAGTGGACTGAGATATAAATGGGATTGGATCATTTGACTGGGCTGGACAACATCCTTTCACATGGCCTTCCCATGGATGTGCTGTACATCTGCTCAAAAGAAAAAATTACTTTGTTGAGCTTCTTCATAAGAACTCTTGGTGCCACCGACTCAGTTGGGACTTAGCCTTTCCAGCCATCAATGCACCAGGTTCCTCCAGAGTGACCAGACTTGTGATTAGGTTATAGTGGGGCTCTCAAAAGCACCTTCAGTTTTGAATGTATTTGCTGCTGAGGAGCCAATGAAGTCTTCAATTCTGCACATCCCTTCTCCCATCTCCATAAATGCATGGGAAGCCACAGTTCTGGTTTTGAGATGCTTGGGCAGCTCAGTGCCCCTTGCCCTCACCCTGCATGTCTTGTTACTGGGTCTCCCTGTGTAATTGTGGCATTATTCCACAGCCATCATGTTTGTTAGGTGCCAAACATTTACAGAAATAAGTCTTCATATACCTTGGGGTCAAAGATAGGGATAAATACAGAAGGACCTTGCTTGTCAGGAAGCTGTGCAGTTGTCCTGTAAGGGTGGGTGGTCTGGATAGGCCCCAGGCTCTGGTGTTGGGTAGGAAAAGGCTCAAGAACCTAAAAGGGAGGGAAGGGGTAGCATTGTGTTCCTCGGGCTAGAAGGTTTAGCAGCAGCCTGGTGCAGTCCCATCATCAAGACAAACCTACAGTCCTGGGTGCCTACCAAGCTTGGTTTGTACAAAAGCAAGGTAGGAGTCTATTTTTGTACCTGAGATGCATTGCTCTTTTCCTGTGGGCCAGTATTGTGGAATGAGTCTGAGTTGTTTACACTGATGCCTTCCTTCCCTGTCCACCACAATTGTGTACATAGTCTCCAGTTGACACCCCCCTTTTACCCAGCTCCCACTGAAGAGTTGGTTCTAGGCCTGTGTTATATGTTATATTTAGCCTTTTATATATGACCTTTGATTTTGGTTTGTATTTTAGCACAGTATGTGCATCTTCATTTAAATATATTTGTGCATTCATATATGCATATATATGTATGTACGCATATATATGTATGTATGTATGTGTGTGTATATATATATACATATACATATATATATATATATATAAAATCACCTGTAGCTTCTCAGTTCAGCCGAAGAAGGTGGAGTCCTGCAACCCAGGAGAAAGACTGCATCCTTGCTAATAGTGTTTGCCACAAGTGTTAGTCTTCCCTGTTACCTTTTTTCCTTTGGGAAACTAAATAAAAGCAAAGCTTCTTGTGTTTGCTGTTTCCATGGCAGCTAAGTGAGGGTCTTGGGATGACTTCCTTTGTTCCTCAAGCCGCACTTTGGGGTCCTCTCTGCAGTATTAGTCTCTTTTTTGCCTGGTGGTGCTCTGTCTGCATCTGTATATATGTCACAGTCATTTGCATGGCTTCTGTGCCTGGCTTGCAGCATTTAGGGACAGGATGCTGAAACCAGAGCACTTTGTTTGTCTAAGGCTTCTTACCAATTACAGGTTACTCCTACTTAGTATGGCTACTTTCTTGCTCTTTTTCTTGCTTTTTCTTGAGAGGAAGAGGTTTTAGCTAGGCCCAAGTTGGGGTGCTCCATATCCAGCCCATGGCCTTTTCTTCCCCTGCATGGCCTTCTTAAGAGCAGACCAAGTGGCATTTTACTTCATTAAGTACCCAGTGAAACATTTTATTGCAGACAACACTCCATGCAGATCCAGAAACTGAGGCCCAATAGTTATGACTTGCCCAAAGGTACATAGCTGCTAGGATAAATCAAGCCATCACTGCTTCTGTTTAGCAGCAGATATAGGCTGTGAATCACTAGCACTTTCTCTTTTTTTGTTGTTTGTTTGTTGTTTAAGCAATTACTCTTTTGACTTTTTAATCAAAGTGAAAGGGCAAATAGGCATACACCTTTCCCAAGAGTAGACTGGAATCTGCAACTGCTACCATGCCACCCACTGTGTAGCTCTTCCTTCCCAGAGTGGAGGGATTCTGAGAAACCAAATAATTTGAGCTGTTACTGCCCTCCCCTGGCATTTCAGGGTAGAAAGTTCACATTAGGAATGGTCAGAGATGGTGCTTGAAACTGAGTTAACAAGAAAGGCTGTATAATTTATATATGTGTAACTAACAGAGAAGGAACTCTCCAATAGTAGGAATATGATGTGTATTTGAGTTCTCAGATGTCCAAAGCATCATGTCCTTTGAAAAACATGTCACTTCACAGCCTCTACTTGACACCCTGTGGAGCAGAGTTGGGGAGGAATAGAAAAGATTAAGCTGCAAGTGTGGCTAGGATAAAAGGGAGAGAAAGACTGAGAGCTGGCCCTGCAGTAAATGTATTGCTGGGGGCTGGAGTTAGGGCCAAAGCCACTGCTTTGTATGTGACGGCAACACTGCACTGCTCAACCACCAGCCAGTGGGGATAGTTTTTAAAAATTACTCCCTATTTCAATCTTAATTAGTACTCATTTAGGATAATTGGGGGAATTTTAAAGAATCAATTGGCCACCCAAATGGTACCACTGTTAATCTTTTGGTGTTAAATGTTCCTCTACACATTTCTGTGCATAGGTTTTTGGTGTGTTTACATAGTTGTTATTCTACTGTATATACAATTTTATGTCCCTTTTGTACTTAACATAAACTTTTTTTTCCATGTTAACAGTCTTAAACAGAATTTTATGGGTACACCCTCTTCCATTGAGTTTCTGAAGTATTGTCTGCCTGGTACCCCAGAGGGAGGGAGAGAGGGAGGGGATGGGTTGTCTACCTTCATTCTCTTAGCTTGCATGAGGCTCCCTGTAATGCTGTGTGAATGGACTGCTGTAACCCCTGCTAGATAAGGCCTATGGGCGAGTAAGAACCCCTAGGCTCTAATAAGCAGCCACTGGACCAGAAATGAGTGACATTTAAAGGAAAGCCTAAGCCGACCTTAATCTTCGGAACTTATCTGCCATATATGTCAGTCTGCCTTGCACACACACACACACACACACACATACACCCCACACCACTATTTCAACCTTTGACCAGAATGACAACTTCTTGGAATATGCATGTCCTACTAGACCCTGGCTTTTGGTGGCTTCTACACCAGGTCTGGCAGAAGGCCTAGTCACTTGCTTTGGTAACTTATTGCCTAGCCTTGTGAGATGGTAATTCCTGGGGCCTGCTGCTCTAGCTCAGCATCATCAGAGCTGCAGGACCTGCTTCTGACTTTTTGAACTAGAGCAGATGAAAATCCTGCCAGTCTACTTCTATACCACTTTGGAGGTTGGCTAGGGACTCTGATAGAAGGATCCTTCTGGCTTGGGTGTAGCTGGCCTTGGATAGGTTCTCCTGACTCAAGAGTACTCAAGGAGTAAGAGACTACCGTGTGGTGTGGTGGGAGGGTTGCTGCAGCTTTAGCTCTGCTGGGAAATATGAACAAATCAGTCAGAATGGCTGCCCTTGCCACAGCCAGACTCACTGTGGTCTCCCTGCAATTGAAAGACCTGTTGCACCTACTCCCTGGGTCTTGGCCTTGTGCAAAGAACAAGAGCAGGAGCAGGGAGTAGCCTTTAGCTTTGTTCGGAATTGAGGCCAGCAGGCTGTGGGAGTGAGCTGGTTTAGCAGTTGATGTAGGGAAGAGGCAGGGACAGAATGTTGCCCACACTTTGCTCAGGGAGAAGGGGGAAGGCTGTGCTGAGGAAGGAGGAAGTCAAGTCTCCTGTAGGCTGCTAGGACAGCATTCTGGCATTTGCCAGCTGACTGATAAGAGATGCTATGCAGAACTTCAAGGACTAACATTTTGTTATGGCCCCAACTGGGCCCAGATTCAGGCCTGGAAATCCTGGGCTGAGGAATACAATTATATGGAAAATGGAATATATATGGTAATACTTTTTTCTGTTGAAAAACATCTGAGAAATGGAATCTCACAACTGCACAAGTTTTACCATGTTTTACTGGATATTCTGGCTGCAGTCTAAAACTTGAGTTGCCTGGCAAAAGTTACTTCAATTCTAGGAGTGAATTCAGGAACTCAGAGAAAGCTGAAGTCATGAAGGTGGTTTGCCTTGTCGTTCACATACTACCTGAGCCTTAGTAAGTTTTAGATGCCAACAGTCTTGTGAAGAATTGAAGCTGTTTGTCAAGCAGCAAGCCTAAGGATCTTAACAGATGTATGTTTCCTGCTAAATCCAGCTAAAAAGAAGTTTGCATTCAAAATCAAGTGAAAAAGTAACCCTTATGGTACCTAAAGCTGAGTTCACAGTGGTAGTAAAGGCATCCTTTCTGTTTCTTGGGCAACAATGGGGGTTGGGGGGGACTCACTCAAGATAAGAACTAGGGGGGCTTCAGAGAAAATAGTTCCAACTCTATGCAAGTTTGTATGGTAGAGCTAAAACTAATCCTCTGGAAAGTGCCCTTAATCCAAGCTGTACAAGCAATTCACAATTCACAAGGACTCTTCTGCAAATGAACATTTAATAATAGGAATGTGATAAGAAACAAAAGCAAAGGCATTGGGGGTGAGACTAGGGCAGGCCTGGGGCCAGGGGGAAGCAAGTCAGAAGGGCAGGCCAGAGGTAGTGATAAGCATTCCCTGCCCAGCCAACTCTGGAAGTTCCTCTTGCCCCTTTTTGCTCTTCCCCCAACTTTAGCTGTAGGGGCCATGCCCTCCAACAGCAGAGAACAGGGCAAAACCTAAGCTGGTGTCTCCTCCAGAGCTTTCTTCAAGATACGTGTTCTAGCAAATGTGAGACTGCCCAAGATTTTCTTGGGGGGATTGTTAAATGGATGCCCCGACATTCATGGATTGGAAAACCTATATCCAAATACAGGACGCTACCCCTTGTGGCATCTGACTAATACTCTTAATGTGGGTATCTCTTTCTAAGAATAATTCTTGGGCTATTGAGGATCCTGTCTGAGAAGCCTCACAAGGGTTTCCTAAGTTGTAGGAAATCAGATCCCTCTACCAGAGTGATGTGATTATTGTAAAAGGCAGGACCTGGTGGGCTGGGCTCTTTGTACCCTTCCAGCTCTTGCTGCCTGGTATAAAAAATCCCCTTGAAACAGATGAACCTGGGTGAGAAGCAGGAACATTGGGCTGTGGCTGGGGATGGGACAAACAGGGCCTTCTCTTGGCCATAATGGAGGCATGCCCATACTGCAATGATTGGAGTGCTTCTTGGATGCAGTGTCAGAATCCTCAGTAGCCACTGCCTCCTTGGCTCTGGCTGTTCAAGGGAATCACGAACACAGAGACGTCATCATAGGACACCTGCCTTTCCCCTGTGGGACTGTCGTCCTTCCCCTGTGTGCTGTGTATCAGCATTTGGGCCAACTCCGAGAACCTGTGAAGACCATCATGCAGATGTACTTTGGAGGCAGAGCAAAGGGACAAGGCCAGCCTTCCAGGAGAACTCCCTGCAAAGGTTGGACATTTGGAGGACCCAAAAAAATGTAGTCCAACTATGAGCTGAGCAAAAAAGTCTGGTAGGACCACAGGAATCAACCCAAAGATTTTTTTTTGTGTGTGTGTGTGTGAGCTGGGGATGGAACCCAGGACTTTGTGCATGCAAGGAAAGCACTCTACCAACTGAGGTATATTCTATTCCCTAGCCTTAAGATTTTTTTCTGACCCACAATCGCTCCCCCTACTTTCTGAGAAGTTTGAGACAGCCCTAATTGGGCTGGCTGGCAGTGCTGTTTCAGCTTAACTACTTAGGTCCCTGGCATCTACATACCTGTGTGGATCCTCTCTGTTCCCAGGGAGGAAGCTCCGTACCAGCCATGCCACCTGCTCATTGGACAGGACATCCCAGAGTCCATCAGTTGCCATGACAACTACATCCTCTTCCTGCAACTCTAACTGGTCCATATCCAGCACAGTTACCTGAAAGTTAAGCCTGAGGATCCTTAAATGCTCCCTTCCTGGCTCCCACCAGGCTCACTCCCTGTCTTTACAGGTAGATGGAGGCTGGAGTGGAATACATTGTCCTCTCACCTGTGGGATAGAGAGCAAGAAGGGCTTGAGCTGGATGTTTGTGTCCAGGACTCTGAGCTGATGGTCTCCCAGTCCTCGGGAGACAGCCAGCGTTCCCAGTAACCGAGCCTGAGGAAAGAGGAGAGATGTGAGGTGATAAGACCCTGGCACTCCTGAGCACACAGGAAAGGGTGGACTGTAGACCCCAGGAGCTGTGCACTGAAGAAGAAACAAGGGAACAGACCCCACTAAGGAACAAAGGAACTCCCACCTTCACAGAGCAAGTGGATGGAGATTCTTGAAGGGGGACCAGGTACTGACCTGCCTGCCATGTCCGTGGATCAGTGGGTACTTCAGATCTGATTTCTCCACACATTTGTAGCTCCTACCAGAAGCAGAGCCTGCATCAGCCCAAGCCCTCACTTGTCTCCCAACCCAGGGCCCAGCTGTTTTACCCTCATAGGGCCCACCCTGCCCAGGAAGAGGGGGAATGGCACAGCTGAGCCTGGACCTCAAGTCTCTCCCCACCATATTCCCCCTCCCCCCTCACCAGCCGCTCATGTGATGATCCCTGAACAAAACCTTCTGCCCCAAGTCATCCCCCTTCAGCCGCCGAGGGAATTCCAGTCGGGTGAACTCATCAGCCAGAAGCTCAGGGTAGACAAAGGCCTGGGTGGGGAGGCCATGCTCAGGTCAGTCTCCCTTCTATGGCCCCTTGTGGCTCTGGATCCAGGACTTGGGGATCCATAGCCTCCCCCTGGTGAAGGTACCTACCAGATGCTGGATTCGCTGCCGCTCAGTCTCTGGAGTAAACTCAGAGCTCAGCGGCCGAATCTCATCTCTCCGAACCAAGATGGCCCTGTATGGGGTTGAGGAGGAGGAGGAGGGATCTATGAAGTGATCTTCATAGATCTCATCCATGGATACCCTCCTGCCAGCCCCTCTTCACCATCAGGAGCCAGCTTTGGCCATATCAATCCCTGGTTCAAAGCCCTTTAGACTGTCTTCAGGGTAAGGCTCAGTTTTTCACATTAGCACTTAAGGGCCCTATGATGCTCTTCCTGGCAACCCTCACACTTGACATATGCCAGGTACAAACAACTTGGCCATTCAATCTTCCCTATTTCTAAACCTCCACTTCCGGTCATCTTTCATTGTCCCATTTCTGGTTTTCTCCTGCCCACCCCACCCCTGCCCACACTCCAAGAACTCACCTGCTATCCCCAGCATTGGCCACATACAGCTTTCCCTGCAGGGACACAGCCACCAGAGCTGTGCAGCCGCCCACCTGGCCTGAGGCCTCCAGCTCCCGCCCGATCACCTCATCCTGGAGCAAACCGAGGCCATCTTAGCTGCCACCTGTACTTCCATCATACCACTGTTTCCCAATCCCACCCTAAGGTTCACTCCCCAACAGCAGGCCTGGCAGTACCAGCCCAAAGTCCAGCCATGAGTCCTCAATCCCTGTGGTTAGAAGATGCAGATATGGGAAGTGCTACTCAAAACAGAGGAAGAGAAACCAGCCCTTGCCCCAAGGACTAGCAGCATTAGCACTTAGTGCACTGAGCTGTGGATGTAGCTCAGTGGTAGAACACTTGCCTAGCATCATGCAGGAGGCCCTATTCAATCCCACCTACCAAAAAAAAAAAAAAAAAAAAAAAAAGCATGTAGTAGAAGGAGCAAACAGGAGAGATTAAGATGACAGTGACAATAAGAAACAAACTCAAATTATGTCTTCCCAGTCAAATCATGGCTTTATATGTTATGTTATGCAGGATTATGTTATGCAGGGATGCCCCACTCAGGTCCCTGGGATAAAAAACTTCCCTTACTCCCCAAAGGGTATACTCACACATTCCTGGAAGGCGCTCTCCAGGGCCCCAATCACCAAATCTTCTGCCCTGATGCCTTTTTCTTCCACAAACTGGGGGTCACTGGGGCAGACACAGCGGCCACTGAGGTGCATGGGGGGTTGAGCAGCCACCATGCCTTCTACCACCGCTTCTAGCTGCCGACGCAGGCAAGAGTGCAGAGTATTGGCAGCCAGGATGGCTGCTGCAGGACCACCGTGCCCATCAAATAGTGCCCAGTAATGACCCGTCAGGAACTGCACAGGAAGGGCCTCCATGTCAGGCTCTGCCAGTTTCCCCCCCGGTCCACCTTGCACTAGGATATGGGCAGCAAGGCAAGAGCCTGTATACCCTGGTCCCAGCCTGTAAGAAAAGTTCAGAACTGGCTGCACTTACTTCTTCTGGGCACAGAGTCAGCCATTCCCTATCCTCTTCAGGTCCGAACTCATATCTCCGGATGCACAGTTTCCCACAGGCAGCTTGATCCTCATTGAACTCAGATTTCTCTGCATTGATGATCCTGAGGCCAGAAAAAGGTCAGGTCAGTGACATACCTGTGTCCCCTTGGGTACAGAGACCCCAGAAAGAGGCAGCAGTTCCTGAGTGTTATTCCTGACAAACTTCTGGGCAATTTTAAGTTTCCTGTTAAGTGGCTTTGTGACTAAGAGAAAAGTCAAGGCCCAGACCCTCTAGAGTCTTATCTGTTGACCCAGGGCTGAAGTAGGAGTGAATTTTCTACAGAGATCAAGGGTTCCCTTTCCTATCCCTTGCCGCATCTTAGGTGTTCCACACAGCACAGGCCATATAACCCAGGGTGAGATTTGGGATTCCCAAATCCCACAATGCTGGAATTCTACAGTCTCCCGGCCTCATCTTGGAAGTCTTGGAGTGCAAGTCGTTCCCCACCAACACTCTTCTCTTAAGGAGGTTGGAGATCCAAAGAAAACACTGAGGTAGGATAAGGAGTCACTAGTTGAAGACAAGAAGGGTTATCTACAAGTGGGATGGGGGTGTCACTCAGGTTAGCCTGTTTTCTAGATCGGCAGAGAACCCTCGACTGGATGGATAAGGCGGGAGCCCTGATGGGGGTTCCTGGATCAAGGGTATCCCGGGTTGGAGGCACTCACTCGGCGTAGCCTGCGTTCCAGGGTAGCGTGCGGCCCCGCGCTGGGCTACGCACTGGCCGGGAGTCCGAGCGGCGCGAGGCGTCGGCGGTTCCTGGGCTGGAGCCAGAGCCACGCAGGAAGCGGGGCCGCCGGTAGGGCACAGGGCTGGCGCGTGGCCCGGGCGGCCGCGGCGCGGGCAGTGGACCCCCAGTCAGGAAGCGGCGCCGGAACCAGCCGGCGGACATGGTGCGGCTGCAGGGGGCTGCCCGCGGTGCGCGGGCCCGGAGGGCTGGGCGGGACCGCCCCTGGGAGGAGGAAGCGGGCTGGGGGCGGGAGCCGGTCTGGGCAGAGACGCGCCTAACCCCACCTACGGCCTGAAGTGTGTGCCGGGCCTGAGCTCTCAGACTTGTGGATCCTGCCGACACCTTTAAGAAGCAAACTCTGCAGACTGGAAAACAGGCCTAGAGAATGAAGTCGCCTGTGTGCGTAAAGCAACACAGCAGGATCACATGTTCATCCACACTTGTAGAGCACTAGCCTTTGGGAGGGGAAAGTCCCTCCTGCTACCCAAGATGCTGTGGACAGTCATCCAGAGCAGGCACTGGGCCCCTGTCCACCGCAAAGCCTCAAGCCTCTTTCTGCTGGGCGGGTACCTTGCGCAAGAGGAAGATGGGGACAGGATGTCCTTGGAGGGGTCAGATAGACACATTGAGTAAGCGTGTGTAAGAAACTTGGTGTTCACTCAGGACGTCTCTGTTCCTCACCCACCCAGCCGGGCATCTCCACCCCCAGATGGAAGTTAATGGTCATCTGGGCCTTCCCCACCCTGAAAGGTTGCTCCTGCCCCAGAGGCTAGTCTCCCAAATGGCTGCTCCTCCAATTAAGATGTCCTCTCTGGGCAGACAGCAGGATATTCACTAGAGGGTGAGTGAACATATGGGAATTGAAAGGCGAATCCATGGTGCCCCCAAAGGCTCTAGCTGGTTAGAGTTCAGAACTGGGTGAAAGACTTTCTTCCACGCTGAAAATAAAGATGGTTCAGTCTCCTCGTAATGCCTGGCTAGCTATCACCATGTGGTCAGCAGCAGTTTCCCCTTTCATATCTACATTTTAAAAGCACCTTGTCACTCTTCTGACACTTTAAATTCAACACCCTGTGAATGACTGCTATTTCCATTTTGTAATGGAGGACTCTGAGGCCCACTGAGGGGAAGTCTCTGATGCTCTAAGCTGTGCTGTTTCCTTTTTGACAGTGCAGCTGACTTAAACAACCTCCCACCCCCAAGGGATTTCTCTTCCTCTTTCCTTTTCCAGAAAGCAAACTCAAAGTCCATAAGCCCCCACAGCCCAGAGCCCCCAGGGATGGCTATATGAAGAGTCCCTACCTTCACCTCCACTCCCAAGCCCAGGATCATGTGAGTCCCACTTCCTCCATGCAGCCAGCCCTGTCCCATCTATAGAGTTTCTCTAGCCCAAGGAGAAAGATTCTTAGAACAGAGAACAGTGCCCAACACCCATTCCCTCAGATGAGTCAGATCCAGAGCAGCATGGTGGCTAACTCATTACCCTATGTGTGCCACGCCCACACTGGGCACAGAGTTAATGGAGAAGAGCCAGGCATTGTCCCACTGAGCCCCCATTGTGATGATAGTGGAAGTTAATGATAGATGGTGCTTGATCTAGCTATCAAGTGAGTGGGGACAAAGCCATAGAAAATTACCCTTAAGGACACTTGTCATTTCTGTCATTGTGACAGAAATGAACCAGGGACCCAAAGTGAGACAGACTGTGAAGTCACCTCCTCACCCCTACCAGTAGATGCCTCGAGGCTTTTTAAAAATACCTTTATTTTTATGTGGTGCTGAGGATCCAAACCAGGGCCTCACACATGCTAGGCAAGCATTCTACCACTGAGTCAGAACCCCAGCCTGACTTGAGGTTTTTCTGTAATGAGATTTTATGTGTGGATTGAACCCAGGGGCACTTAACCTCTAAGCTACATCTCTAGTCCTTTTATTTTAAAAAAATTTGAGACAGATCTCACTCAATTGCTAAGGATCTAAGTTAATGAGACTAGCCTCAAACTTGAGATCCTCCTGTTGATTCAGCTTCCCCAAGTCACTGGAATTAGAGGCATGTGCCTCCCTGCCTGGTGATTCAGAGGCTTTTAAAGTATAAAATTTGAAAAAAAAAAAAAAAAAAAAGCAAATTCACTCTATTCCCCAATCCATTAGCTTGGACTTGCCTACAGTGGGTCAAGGTCCTGTCCTAAATCATTCTCACAGCTCTGGGCAGCCAAATATTTCACGGGTAGTCTAATGCCCAGTTTATTCACTTGTTTTCAGAGCTGTGTGGAGCCCTGTAGTAATCCCATCCTCTCTGTTCAAAAGAAGTGTGAGTGTTCCCTTATGCCATCTAGGCTCCTCTATCTCCCTAGGCTAGGCACCTGTTTTTACCTGGAATCCAAGCCTGCCTTTTTTGGTTTGTTCCCTCATTTTGCTGAAGCATATCCTTCAATAAATTTCCAAGAAAGAATGACCTGGAAGTAATTTCTTGGGTTCTTGCTGGTCTCAAAGGGTTGTAATTCTGTCCTTGTTTTTTTCTTTCCCTGTCCCCACCCTACCCCAGATACTGGGGATGGAACCTAAGTGCACTCTACTTCTAAGCTACACCCACAGCCCATTTTATTTTGTTTTGGTGCTGGGAATCGAACCCAGAGGTTCTTTACCACTGAGCTAAATCCCCAGCCCTTCTTATTTTTTTGAGACACGGTCTTGCTAAATTGCTGGAATGGGAGCAATTTGAAGAGGCTGGCCTCCTCAAACTTAGCCTCCAGTCACTGACATTATAGGCATGCACCAGCACACGCCACTCTACCTCTGCTTTTGACTACTGTACTGTTTGGAATCCTACTTCTATTAATTGTCTTTTGGTTGCCACTGCTGATGCTGAAATCCAGTATCTTTCTCATTCTTTAGATTGGCCTGTTGCCGGGTTTCTGTTCTCGAGACTAAAAGGCTCAGGGGTGACTCTAGTTAAACTGGGCTAATTGGGCTGCACAAAACAAGAGACACAAATACCTTTTTCTTTGGGGTTGCTATGATGGCTCCTCTGGCCTTAAGGGTCCGCAGAAAGAGAGAGAGCATGTGCTGACCCCTTTTATTGAGAAGCTATTCAAATGAGGCAAGGGGTCAGGTTTCAGGGGGCTGAGTCTATCTTCATGATGTCCACTGTCAGCAGGTTGACTGAAACCTGGGTAGGCCACACCCAAGGGTACAGTAAGAGAAGGGGACACACAAGGCATTTCCATGGAAGATTCTATCCTAAACAGGGCAAGGGGTTATATTACAAAGGAACAGGTGAGCGTAGCTTCACCTATGGGGCCCTAGTGAAGCCAGATTTAAAGTTAGGTAGTCAGTGTAGTTAGGTAAATCGGGTCTAATATCGAGTGAAATCTAAAATGGAGGCCATGCTGGGAGTGACTCAGGGAAAACAGGACAACTCATGGAGTGTTAATAAAGTTCCGAAAAGGCCCTAGGCCAAAGTCCACCTGGAAGAAATGTTAATGAACATCCCCCAACAGACTTGAAGACAGCCCATCCCAAAGAAATGTTAATGAAGCCCAGGATACAGCCCCCAACAGATTTGGAGGTAGCTCATCCCAAAGAAATGTTAATGAACAGCAAACTTGACTGGAAATGACCAGATTACTCCTTTGTCCCAAACCCTTCCCACCTACATTCCTTCACCAAACCTATAAAAAGGGGAACACATTGCCCGCTAACTGGATTCCACCTTTTGGGTCCCCTTCTTCCTCCGGGAGAAGTCTTTTCTTCTGTCCTTTAATAAATTTCTAATTTCTACTCTGACCTTGCCTCGGCGTGCTTCTTTGGTGTTATTCTTCAACATCGGGGAGCAAGAACTCGTCACCGGTCAACAGCGGTAACACTAGCAAGACACACCCATGCACGAGAGACACCGTCCCTCGAACCCAAGAAGGGTGGGGAAATCTCTGCCACATTTCTGTGACTGAGTGTCTCAGCACCCAGCTGGGGAGTGACTCAGTCACGTGCAAGGTTGGTCTCCAACAGCCTGTGTTTGCCCCTTTCTCTTTCCAGAAGCTTCCAGGCTTTTTTTTTTTTCCTATTCGGTATCTAAAATGGATGAGATCCTTTAGGATGAATTTTTCTTCATTCCTGATCTAGGTTCTCCCAGGGCAATATAAACTCCTCACTCTCACTGACACATTTCTCCCAATTGCTCCAATGAACCCAAGTCTGCCACCTTCTGGCCAGAGGCTTCTCCCCAGCTAACATGAGAGGTGGTGGGGGGAAGAAAAAGGAAGAAAGGTTTTATTCTACATTTTTCCACTCCCAATGAAAGTAGCTTTTATTTAGTTCCATATCTGTTCTTTAATAAGATTTATTTTAGATTTAATTTTTTAAAATATTTTATTATTTTTAGGTGTAGATGGACACAATGCCTTTATTTTTATGTGGTGCTGAGGATCGAACCCAGGTCCCACTCTTGCTAGGCGAGCGCTCTACGGCTGAGCCACAATCCCAGCCCCAGGTTTAATTTTTTAAACTTAATATTTTTATATGACTATCTTTTATTATTTTCACAAAGTATAAAAATATTTATTTAGCAGCAAGTCGTTCCCACAACTCATTCCTCTTCCCAGAGACCTCTATTATGACTAAATTTATTGGGGGATCCTTCCAGAGATGTCAAAGAATTCTGTGCAAATTTAAGTGAAAAGTGTGTATGTATAAAATCTCTCCTCTCACACAAATGGGTACATTTTGACAAACTCATACATGCAAGGAATTTTATTTCAATCCCAATGCCCCTTTCCTTTCCCTCCTTCCTCTACTCTGATTTTCCTTTCACTTATTTACTTATTTTTGGTACCAGGGATTAACTCAGGGGCACTCAATCACTGAGCCACATCCCCAGTCCTATTTTGTATTTTAGTTAGAGACAGGGTCTCTCTGAGTTGCTTATCGACTGGCTTAGAGCTCATGATCCTCCTGCCTCAGCCTCTGAGCTACTGGGATTACAGGTGTGCACCACTACGCCCAGCTTTCATTTATTTATTTTTGATTGATACTTTCTACATATAAAGAAATTCCCTTGGTATATTTATATGTGCATATAAAATGATTTTGTTAAATTAATTCTGTTTCCTCTCCTTTTCCATTCTTCCTCCCTCCTTCTTGTTCTTCTTCTTCTACTCCGTTGATCTTCCCTATTCCTCTATGATGTATGAACCCCCACCACCTTCTTTCCCTTATTTTGCTCTAGTTTCCACATAAAACATTTGACCCTTGGTTCTGGCTTATTTC